CCGCGCTCGGCCCCGAGCCGAGTCCCCGCGTACCGCCGCCGCCGCCGGTTCGGCTGGCTCGCCTCACACCCTCCCTCCGCGAGCGTGGTGCGGGCTCGCCGGGCTCCCGAGGTGCGCGCTGGCCTGGGAACTTGTTCACCCCTCGCTGGGCTCTTGGCTCCCAGAGCCTACGCCAGCGGATTTGTGCCTAGACCCGAGCGTTTGTTTAAAGGGTGTGTATGTGGGGGGAAAACCCACGATACGTAACTGGCTTCGAACTTCTTGTGACTGTATGATTTTTCTCCTTCTAGATTTAAGTAAGTCTTCCCCAACAACGAATGGGATTCCATCTTCAGACACAACCAACGAAGCCATGGACCCCTTCCATGCTTGCAGTATTCTTAAGCAACTCAAAACAATGTACGATGAAGGACAGTTGACAGACATTGTAGTGGAAGTGGATCACGGGAAAACATTTTCCTGTCATAGAAACGTTCTTGCTGCAATCAGTCCCTACTTCAGGTATGACGACGGTAGAAACTTGTATTGCTATCCTATCCGTACCAGACTCCCCTTCATCGCCAGTATTGCTCACGTGGTTCTGATACTGAGTTGGGAACAAACAAATAAAGGCAAGCCGTGCGTTTGTTTTCTGAGAGCAAGTAACAGGCCTTGACTTATTAATGAGTCCTTGTTTTGAACTGTGGGATTTTTGAGTTCAGAGAGTTGGGTTTTAAGTTGGTGGACCTCTGTGTGAGGTGCTCCCCAATATGGAAGACGCCGCCACACGTGAACATTATGATGCCTTAAAATTAAAATATTCAGTAACTCAGCTGCACTAATAGTGTCAAGTGCACAGGCAGCTACATGTGGCTGGTGGCTACTATATCGGGCAGCGTAGATATACAATGTTTCAATCGTTGGAACTTTTATTAGAGAATGATCTGTAATTTATTTTTAAAAATTAATGATTTTCTTTCAGTAAACCTTTTTTAGAGTTTAAACCATAGGAACCTGAGTAGAATCCTTTGCAAGTAAATTAGGACTTAGTAGATTGTTTTAATGCATGGAGTTTTGTAAAACGTAGTAGAATAAATGAAAGAGTTTGTTTATGTCTTAGTTTCCAAGATTCCCAAAGGTATTGGTTTTTTCTTTTTTTTATTTTTATCATAAAATATTGAAAAGTGAACATTTTAAACTTGTGTCTGAACACTAAGAGCAGGTGATTGGAAAAGGTAATTTCCTACCTGGACATAATGTTTCAAGTATTTTCTTCTCAAAGCTTTTCGGTTTTCAGAAGTGGTTCATGATGGGAGGAACATCTTGTCAGTCACACTCCTGCTTTCTCTTGGGAGGAGCTTTTAGGACATATCCTACTGTAATGTTGCATTCATTCGCTCTTGTTCCTCTTTCTCAGAATCCTGGCTTGAATATAGTTACTTGAGCCTGATACTTAAAACCATTTAGACTTATCTTGGGTAGATCATTGAACTACAAAGTATTAATTATCACAGGATAGTAAGCCAGAAAGAAGAAAATATGAAACAGGAACAATACATATCCCATTTATATATGAGAAAAGATTCAGTGAGTGCGATCTATGTCAATCAAGTTGCAGAGCTAGATTTTATCCTAAAACCAGACTTCTTGCTGTGTTACACTTTTGAACAAAAATGGACGAATGGGTCTTCATTAAAGTTTCTGTTTTAAAAAAGCTATTATCTTTGAATAGTAAAATAAACTGGAGCTCCAGAGTAAAAATTTTCTCGTTGAAACTTTATTTTCTAGATAATACCATATGAATGCCATATATAATTAAAATTAGGTTTGGATGCCTGTACAGAAAAAGTATGACCACAATAGATTTTAGTTTATAAGAAGTTAAAAAATGCTTGAAAATATTTTGGAGCATTCATTCACACACACACACACACACACACACACACACACACAAGCTGCTAGAAAACTAAAATACTAAATTCTGCATACAAGTTTCCTGGCTCTCCTGATATGGGACTCTCAGGAATCATACTTAATAGACTCTAAGGCTTGCATTGCAGGTGAAAGAATTAGAACAGCTGGAAATGTGACGTGTGCTTTCTGATGCAGCGGTTTCATAATTAATGATTAAGAAAACATTTTGCTCCTTGGATTTTGTGTGAGGGAAGACTCTCAGTATACTCGAGTACATGAAGAACCTTTTGGGAACTCATGAAGTATCAGGCCATTCATGTGTGTTAGCCTAGCCCGTTAAATGCAGGAGTGGCTCCCACGATAAAGTGCTATGTAATGATACTCCCCCTTTCTACCTAATGAGGGGTGGACTTTTCTTTTTATGTGGTAGCTATATAAGTGAATGATTTAGCACCTGAACTGAAAACCAGCTCCAAAATTAGGAACAGTTGGTCTGTAGTTATCAAAGCCAATGGTAATATTAAACTTAAAACTTACATTATTGAAGTAAAAAGATAAGTAGTTTGGATACCAAGTTGAGCCCTTGTACCCTTCAGGTTTCTCATACTACATATTAAAATCTCACACGTTGAGGGCTGGAGAGAGAACTCAGTGGTTAATAGCACTAAGTGCTCTTGCAGAGGACCTGAATTTAGTTAGCAACACTCATATCCAGCCACTTACCATCACCTGTAGCTTCAGTTCCAAGGGGACTCAGTGCCATCTTGTAAACTCTGCAAGCATCTGCACTCACAGCTGGTCAGTCTTCCACATATATACACATAAATAAAAAGGTTAAAATCTTTAAAAAACTGAAATCCCCAAGTATTTAATGAGGGCTTCAAAGGTGTTTGCCCATTTTCCCTCTTAGGATACTTTTCACAGTGTAACAAAACAAGTTCCAAGTGTCAAGATTTCAGTTACGTTTATCCCCAATACGACACTGATTTTCTTCAGCACATTCTATTAAGCACCCCAGATGCTCTTCAGAAAGAATAAAAGTGTACATATTTTTTCTCATAGGTCTTTTGGAAGAATTTTGATATTTAAGAGTTTCCTAGAATGGTGGTTGTGGTAGTGCATGTTCTTAATTCTAACACTTGGGAGTCAGAGGCAGGAGGATCTTCATGAGTTCAAGACCAGCCTAGTCTATATAGTGAGTTCCAGAACAACCGGGTCTGTGTAAAAAGACCTTGTCTCAAAACAGTGACAACGAAAGGTTCTTTAAGATGAAACCTTACAGAAAGGAAAGGATGTCATACAAACGCGTCCAACTGTTTTATCTGCTTACTGTTTGGGGAAAGATGGTTTTATAAATATACTCAGTTAAAAAAGAAATAAAAACCAAACTGTCTTGACTAAAGCAATATATTACAGAATGGCCAGGCTGTTCTCAAGTTTGCTGTGCTCAGACTGCTGTAAATTCATGGCCATACTCTCGCCACAGCCTTCCACAAGCTGGAGTCATACACCGCTTCACCCATCTTAGAAGCTTAGTCCTGAGGGTATAAGTTGGGGAAATTAAAAATAATTTTCATAGAATCAGCAATGTGTTGAATGTTAAGCTCTTTAGAAAAAGGCATTGCATTAACCCTATCATAGTTTTTGTATGAATATAAATAGGTAAAATATAGGAACTTGAACTTTAAAATGAAGTATATCTGTTTTAAGGAAAGGTTTTCAAAGTATACTAGAATAAGTAAAGTGGTCTTTAAAAGGAATCCAGTTTGAAAAGGTGTAGGTGAAGACTACATACCTTTGAAGAACGCTGTTCTCTTTCTGAGATTAAAATTGACTTAGTGCATGCAAGTTTCCTTGTAATTTTCACTGGGCCGTCAAAGATTTTATTAGACTGGCTCGCTGTGCTAGGACTAATTTTGCTGTCCTGATGATAGCTTGAACTTTGTCTTGTCTGGGACATTATCATTTCAGGTCCAAGGCAGTTTGACTTGAAGCTTGATTAGGTGTTCTAAGGATTATCAGATCTGAAATATGTCACTAACAGTGTGGTTTCTTACCAATATTCTCCTTTTTCTGTAGTTAGCATGTGAGAACAGAATCCTGCCTTCTCCCTTTCCCAGGTCTTATGTCATTCCCCAGGTGAGACTT